TATATTCTCCTGTCTTTGCCGACTGCTTCTTCAGTCAGTTTGTTGCTTTCGCTTTAACGAAGCTTAAAATATTTAGAATCATTTCAGTCAAAAACAGCTACTGGTGCAGCTGCTTTCGTTAAATTCATGATTTTCTTTACATAAGGATGATTAGATAATTAGTGATTCGTCATAAAGAGGAGTCTTTTTGAAAGTTGAATACGCTTGGATTGGTTATGACTCACTGCGAAAAATTCAGTAGGAAGTGATTAGAAATAAAGAAGAGAATACGATATTACATTATACCACGAACAAGACAAGACTAAGGTGTTAAAGCATGTTTCTGCTACTGCCAATGAATCATAGGGGCATCAGTCAATCCTAAACTTTCTCGTTTCAACACTGATTAGAGAGCCTATATTTCCTAGTACAACTTTCAGGGATACCGTCGTCAATCGATGGTACAAGTACTTTGGAACCTTTTAAATAACAATTAACAAGCATTTTCGTCAGTCTGGCTCCAAAGACCACTAACAGTGAGTAAGTCGGACGGTTATGCCATTTTAATGGCTGCTATCAGGATTCAAATCTTTCATTGAAAATGTAGACTGTTTTGACTAGCGTAGTAATAACCATTTAGAAAATTGTAATAATTTCTTATTTGGATGATATTTTTGTAACAGATACAAAGTTTCAGGATTTCATCATGAGCTGACATTGGTTAGAGAACCATTGGAAACACCTGCAAGGAGTACTGGACAGCTGTTTCTGTTGTCCTAGTATGGGACTCTTCTTCAGTATGCACGCTCTGCCAAGGTTCGAACCCAGGACCTTCTGGTTACAAGGCGAGCCAGCTCGTAGACCATTAAGCCACTGGGACCCGATCCAATGACCAGTCCATGAATTCTAACTTCTGCTAATTCACAATATAGAGCAACTGCTAGGCAATGTCTTCGGCGAGTATTGGTCCCCACAGCCAACCTGCTGCACCCTGCTGGTCACGACTTCTCACTAGAATCCCAAGCAACTATCCACCTGAATAGGGCAAGTCGCTAGTGAGCATCTCATAGAAATTCAAGTGTTGGTTTGTAGGGATTCGATTGGTTACAGCTGACGAAACTGCTGTCCAGTACCGCGAACTGGTTTCCGAATGGTTCTCTAACCAATGTTAGCTCATGATGAAATCTTGAAACCAACCAATCAAATCCCTACAAACCAACACTTGAAGATACAAGGTTTATCTAAAATACTGAGTCATTTTCGTTTTTCGGCTCATGAGGATCACTATAGTGGTTTTTACAGACGTATTTTTATTCGTCAAATTGTCAGATAAGTGTTGGTTTGCATGGATTTGACTGGTTACAGGAACTTAGTTTGAGTACAAATACTCGCCACCGATGATATTGGATAGTGATCGCACTAAGTCGTGAATTGACAGAAATTAGAATTCATGGACTGACCACTGGATTGGGTCCCAGTGGCTGAATGGTCTACGAGCTCATCTTGTATCCGGTCGATCCTGGGGTCGAACCCACGTGGTGGGTGTGTACTGATGAAGAGTCCAGAACTAGGCTGACAGAACAGCTGTCCAGTACTTCTGCAGGTTTCCAACAGTTCTCTAACAGATATCAGCTAGTGATGATGAAGTCCTGTTAGATAACAGTTATACTATGAAAAGAGCATTCACTAATTTTGTTGTTGTATAAGGGAATTGACTTCAAGCTTTATTTATTTTCCCAAATATCTGTAATCCATCCAACGCAGATTTAGGTTTTTTTGTTAATGCGAAGTCAATATCTCTATATTTCATGATGTCGTCCGTTGAATCACTAGTTATCAGATTTTTCCCACAAACTAAAGACAAAATGACAGCAACCGTAAATCATGTATTATATATGTCCAAACCAAGTTCACTTTTAACGGTTTGAAGAAATTTGGGCATTGAGTATATGATATTCATTACAATAAAAGGTTTTTTTGTATTTCCCAATGAATGAAAAACAAAACGATATTGTTTTTACTGACGTTTCGCTATTTAATGCTAACAGATTTCTCAAAGTACTATTAAACCGGAATTTACAAAATTTCAGCATATAATCGTAAATCATGTACTTTAAATATGTAATTTAAATAATACTTATCCCCATGCCTATACAACTGGTGTGTCCTACATAGGTAGGAATAAATATCTACCTTATTATATTATCATTACTAACTATGCTACTAATCGTATGTGCAATTTAACGAACTGACGATGCCTGTAAACTGGCGTCCCTTATATACAAAAATGAGAATATATTATTATTGTCCTTTGGTCATGTGACTTGTCACTTGGCACTTGTCACTTCATTGGTGTCACAATCATCTACACTTTAACATCATGTATATTTATATAGACAAAATATTTTAGACAAAATAATATTATTTACAAAATACCATGCAATGACTGTGAGGTCAACTACATAGGTCAAACTAGTAGGTCAGGGGTTAATCAGAATGTTGGAACATAAGAATTAAGATAAGGGAAGAATGGTTGACCCCGAGAAGATAAGTAATATAGAAAGAAGCTCAGCAATTGCACTGCATGGATTAACACACAATAGGGTGGGAGAGGGTTAAGATTCTAAAAAGTAATCTATGTAGTTGGGGAGAGAGAGACTGATTACTGAATTCAGGTTCATCAAGTCTACACCCAACACAACATATGCAACAGAAATGACTCGATGTAAATACCAGAGTTATGGAAGATATTATTACCACCAGTCAGTCAGTGAAATCAGAGGAGGGTAATAAATAATCTCAGAATTCTATTTCAATTCAAGCACATCACAACATTCTAACAAGTTACTTATTTTGACTACAAGTATAACACTCGTCTTATTTCCCATCTGATTAATATATATATATAATGTTAATATTAGTATTATTATCAGTGCTAGTAAGAGTAGTAGTAGTAGTAGTAAATAGCACAGATAATGCATGAAAATACGTTAACAACGTACGGATAATTCAAAATGTATGACGCGAATGAAAGTGGTGTCATTTGACGAATTTATCATACTATTCTCATAGCATTATTACTCCCATTTAATGTACGACGCACACAAGGAATATAGTAAATAGGGGTAGAATGAGACAGATTCCATAAAGTTAAAAGCGATTTTCTTATTCACGACTTCCAGTACACGTCTTAAACGCTTTAAGAAATTCATTTAACACAGAAAATATTTTGTTTATTAACGTTATTCGTAGTGTGGCGAGTGATATACAGATATATATATACAAATTATTGTTTCCTTTAATTCCTAGACGAACATAGGGCTTCAACCGCGCGTCTCCATTTCGTTCGGTTCACTGCGAAATTTTTAATCTGGCTCCACGTCTCCCCACATGCTTTCATCTCCTCTTCACATGACCTCATCCAAGTCATCCTTGCACTGACCACCAACTTGCCGCTTCCTTTTTAGGTTTCACTCAAACTATAGCTTGTCTACTGATGTCACCTCATGATTTCCTCAGGGTATCGCCAATCTACCTCCATTCATTCCTGCCTATTTGTTTCACAATCGGTTTCTGCTGCGTTGTTTCACTTACAGAGATCCCTGCTGCTGATCCTCTCTGGCCATCTGATACTCCATAGAGCTGACAGTTGATGAATGTCTAAAGTTTGTTTGAGGTGCTGTTCATGACGCGTTGGCCAACTTTCTGATCCATATGGTGAGTAGGACTGACTTCACATAGGAGTTGAAAATTCGGATCTTATTTTCATTTTCATGCTGAGTGATGTTGATCTCCACACAGACTTGAGAGAAATGAAAGCTTGTCTTGCTTTCCCGATATTGTTCGCTTTGATATCCTCGTGAGTTCCGTCTGGTTGTAGTTGAAGCGATGCTTCCCAGGTATGTGTGTAGGTAAAGGAGGTTGTTTCTTTTAGGTTCCTCTCATTTATGCAGCCTAATTGCTGTCTGTTGTTCTTGTTGTTGCTGTTGGTGTTGGCCAGGAATCTTCATCACCTCTGTTTTATCTATGTTCACTTGAAGTCCTATCCTCTCTGGATGCTTCTTCTGCCAACTTGTTGCTTTTCACTTGCATATCTTCCACTTTGTGGAAAATCAGACATATATCATTGGCGAAGTCCAGATCCTCCAAGTTTTCCTTGTGAGTCCATTTCATGCCTGTTTCCTCATTGCCCGTTGTCTGTCGCATTATCCAATCTACTGCAATCGGGAAGATCATTGACGATAATAGACAGCCTTGCCTCACTCCCGCCTTCACTTCGAAGGCTTCCGTGAGTTTCCCGTTGTGGATTACTTATCATGCAACATTGTCGTATAACTGTTGGATGAGATGTATAATTGTCGATGTTACCCCTTGGTAGTAGCGAAGTAGTTGCCAAATGACCTCTCGATCGACGTTGCGCTATTGGAGGCTTTTTCAAAGTCGATGAAGTTGAGCGAGATAGAGAGGTGACTGACTGCCATTCCAAGCTTTGTTCAATGATGATCCGTAGTGTGGCGATTTGATCAATACATGACTTGCTTCTCCTGAATCCGGCCTGTTCCGGTCGAAGTTTTTCTTCCAGGGCTTGTTTGATTCTCTCCATTATGATTCGGCTCAGTATTTTGCTTAGGATGGACAGCAGCATATATATTCAAAACATTTTATGGCAATGGCTGCAGGCTGGATAAGTGTATATTCCTCAAATCTGTATTTAGTTTTTGTGATGGTGAAGAAATAATTTCAACAGAATACTTTTCTGCCTTTTGTTTAATCTCGGGTCAATCACCAACCAATCAGGAGAGTTCATTGTCTACTGACCTAGCCGACTTTTAACATGGTTTAAAAATCGTACAAATATGACGTGTATGTGCATGTGTGTTTTTCCTCATACAAAGGTCTGTTGTCAATACTCTTATTTAATGCCGTTACAATAATACACTTTAATCAGGTCCTTTTACACGCTGGTAACATTATTCTCTCTCTCTCTCTCCCTTTTCTTTTAATTAAAAAAACTGAATCAGGCAACTTGACGCCTTTTTATACGATGCAAATGTACTAGACTATTGGGCGATGAAGGATGAAGGCTGTAAACTACGTACAGTTGGAAATTTATACGCAATGACCGGTTATGGCATAGGCTTTTCCAAAAGTAGTCGATGGTTAACTAAAATTAATTCTCGGATATTGGATTATCAAAAAAACGGTAAATTAACACAGTTTTCTTTCCCTCATTCCCTTTTTTGGATAATATTAATCTGTTTACACTAATATTGCACATAAGAGTATAATTATAGCGGAACACTATACTTTTTTTCTTGGCGAACTTAAGCTTTAAGAAGTGGAAAGCGGAGACGAACCAGTGGCTCTGAATGCACCAATCATATGGAAAAGGCGATTTTTAAGTGTAAAATACATATATTTATGAGAATAGTGAGTAAAAAGACATGAAACTATTGCAGAGGATGCCTTTCTCTGATACTCGACAAAAATGCTTCTAAGTTTTGTATTGAAGTGATTTTAGGATAACTAAACCACATTATTGATATTAGCTGGTTGCAGCCAATCAGCAGAAGGCCCAGCTGGACCTGTATTTTGTGCTTGTTGACACTCCATAGTCAGCGAGCTCTATCTGCAAACTTCAAAGAACTTATGTGCCTTCTGAGAATCGAACCTGCATCACCCAGCGCTACCAGCAGTCAGAGACGTGATCACTGATCCATTCGGGTTCATGATTGACCTCCTGTAGGACTGCATAGGACACTATGATCGGACACCCGTTAGTAACTAGCGTAATGCATCTACTGCTTTGTATGGGGCACACTGAATTATGTCAAAGTAAACCGTGATCGACAGCCGCCCAGAATGGTGGCTACTTTGCAAACATGACTGAAAGAAGTCAGTGTGGACCAAACAAAGGACAAAATACACTACACTAGTTACTAACTAGCGTCCAATCAAGGTAAACCACATTTTATGCGTACATATATTCATCTAGGTCTTCTAACCTAAATTTTTGTTTAACCAAAGTCCTACACGAAACTATCTCTGAACTAACCCTTATCGTAACTCGAACTAACCGTAATATCTTCCCTATTAGCCTATGCTAAACCCAATCAGGATTGACCTGTCCGTAAACTTTCCCAAGCCTTATTTAACAGGTCTCCCCAGCTGGCTTAGTGAGCGTTCCAAGGTCACTGGTGCGTTCACACTCCTTCGGTACTTAAAGTTTACGTTTGCCAGTTGTTATTTTTTTTTTCAATTAACAAAAAGCTATAGGTACTAGGCGTTTCAAAAGATATTCCTTTTTTCTCCTTGAGTAAAACAGTTATGTAACTACTGAACATAAGATATCGTTATATGTGACTGGCATGTTCGAACAGCTAATCCTCAAATTCATGAATAATTCCCATTGACACACTATTGCACATCAAAACACGTCACTTTTCAGTGAATTTATCCAATTACCTGTAAAATCACAATTATATATAATTTTTTATGTATGTGTATGAGCATTACCTATACCAGATAAGAATAAAAATTTATTTAGGGCTGTTGTTTACGTCATCAAAATACTTCAAAACATGTGATGAACAATCGAATTGTAATAACGCGGTGGAGATTAGTATGAGGCCGGTGTTCGGTCCCCGGGCCGACTCACTACCAAACCTGGCTTGCCTGGTAATAAACCAGACTAAAAAGAGAGATCGGCTGTAAGACCAGCAGCCCCACCCTGTAAAACCAAAAATCATTGCTACCGAAACTTTAAGCGTCTAGCTTGAAGCCCTCCCTAAGTTCCACTGGGAATGCAAGCGAATAAAAATTTTAAAAAATAATAAAATAGTGGTGATGAGTTGTCACAAATGTAGCTGTCAATGTTAGTCAACGCATAAGAGAAGTTGAAAAAGTGTATTGTGGTTGCTTAGTAAGGCGAGTGTGCGTCGGTGGCACAGTAGTAGAATGCTCACCGACCACGCATGTGGTCCGGGGTTCGATACCCGGCCAATGACGCACTCCCGAACCTAGCTAAGCCAGTAATAAGATTGGTAAAGAGGAAAGGCTGCGCATGGGGCTAGCGACCCAATCCAGCAGAAATAAACATTACTGCTACAGAAAATTCAAGTCACCAGCTTGAAGTTCTGTGTTTCACTGGGAACGTGAAGGAATAAAAAATTAAAAATAAGGAGAGTAATTTAATAAATGAGTTGTAATCAGGATGCACATAGAAAAGAAGAATGCAAGAAATGACGCGGCATTATGCTTCTGTCCATCCTAAGCAAAATACTGAGCCGAATCATAATGGAGAGAATCAAACAAGCCCTGGAAGAAAAACTTCGACCGGAACAGGCCGGATTCAGGAGAAGCAAGTCATGTATTGATCAAATCGCCACACTACGGATCATCATTGAACAAAGCTTGGAATGGCAGTCAGTCACCTCTCTATCTCGCTCAACTTCATCGACTTTGAAAAAGCCTCCAATAGCGCAACGTCGATCGAGAGGTCATTTGGCAACTACTTCGCTACTACCAAGGGGTAACATCGACAATTATACATCTCATCCAACAGTTATACGACAATGTTGCATGATAAGTAATCCACAACGGGAAACTCACGGAAGCCTTCGAAGTGAAGGCGGGAGTGAGGCAAGGCTGTCTATTATCGTCAATGATCTTCCCGATTGCAGTAGATTGGATAATGCGACAGACAACGGGCAATGAGGAAACAGGCATGAAATGGACTCACAAGGAAAACTTGGAGGATCTGGACTTCGCCAATGATATATGTCTGATTTTCCACAAAGTGGAAGATATGCAAGTGAAAAGCAACAAGTTGGCAGAAGAAGCATCCAGAGAGGATAGGACTTCAAGTGAACATAGATAAAACAGAGGTGATGAAGATTCCTGGCCAACACCAACAGCAACAACAAGAACAACAGACAGCAATTAGGCTGCATAAATGAGAGGAACCTGAAAGAAACAACCTCCTTTACCTACACATATACCTGGGAAGCATCGCTTCAACTACAACCAGACGGAACTCACGAGGATATCAAAGCGAACAATATCGGGAAAGCAAGACAAGCTTTCATTTCTCTCAAGTCTGTGTGGAGATCAACATCACTCAGCATGAAAATGAAAATAAGATCCGAATTTTCAACTCCTATGTGAAGTCAGTCCTACTCACCATATGGATCAGATTATTACAAATAACCAAAAGCCAACCACAGTCTTATTTACATTTTGATGAAACTCATTCGTACACTATAATTACCGAAATAAGTTGAAAATTTCAAAGTGTAACTTAAAGTTGTTTATTGTAATCCCTTTATCTTTTCCCCCAGTGGAACATAAGGAGGCTTCAAACGACAAACTTGAAGTTTCACTAGCAGTGGTTTTTATCTTTTATAGGATGGGTTAGCCAACCTCGTGCCCAACCTTCCCTCCTTACCACTCTTGTCACCAGCCTAGCAAGGTGTGTATGAGTGCGTCGGTAGCCACGGATCGAACCCCGAACCACATGAGGCCTGGTTGGCAAGCATTCTACTGATGTGCCATCGACGATCATGTAAATTTGACAAACTATAATCCACTAACTATCAACTTCCAATGTTTTACAGAATAAGCCTAGCCGAGTTTCCAAAAGTCTCGCTGGAATATCATTTTAAAATGAAAGTATATATATATATATATAACGCATACAGGTATTTCGTTTTAATTCTCATTCCTCTAGAGTGGGATTGAATTCATTCTTGTCCAATATGTAATATATACTTACATAATACTTACTTTGACCTTGAAATATACGCAGAAACATTGTTTGTCTCTAGGTATCTCATAGGTTTCACTCCGATATGTTTGGTTTTCCCCCAACCTTTTTCGCCAACACAATGATCTTTAATGCCTGGATCTTGTTTTCCTAATGGTGACATAAGTGTGCTGTGATTAAGAAACCATTCTCCGAATCATAGTGGAGATTATGATCTAGATTGTAACTGGATAGTTCAGTGTCATCTAGAAATATTGCAGGTGGAATGGGACACTTATTTACGACCAAGGACAAAACTATAACTGCAGACAATAAAATACAACTAATGATATTATTATCATAAGACAATCAAAAAGCAACTTTAATATCTGTACTTCAATAGAAGAATTCTACGAGAAACTTCATGTAACTACGTTCAATATCTTAGTCTCATTGTATTTCCCTCAAAATACCGTAAAATTGACAAATATGACATGAATTCTATAGTCCATTTGCCCTGAAGAAGTTCAAGAAGTATCCGTAAACCACGTCAAGTGCTTTTAGTGGACGAAACATCCTCAATTGTGTGTATCTGAATCTGTGACTCGAGTCGTTACCTAAAACGATCAGTTTATCCTGATAGTACGGAGAACTAAGAATTCATACGTTACACGATTTCATTATGAGCTGACATTGGTTAGAGAACCATAGGAAAACCTGGGAGTAATGCACAGAAGTTTCGTCAGCCTAGTTTGGGACCATTCAACCAAATCCCAAAAAAACAATACTTGAATATCAATGAGATGCTCACTAGCGACTAGCCCTATTCAGGTAGGTAGCTACCTGGGGTTCTAGTGACAAGTCGTGACAAGTAGGGTGCAGCAGTGGGGAAAAATGGTCGCCGAAGATATTGGCTAGCGGTTGCACTATATCGTGAATTGGGAGGAGTTAGAATTCATGGGCCATCGGGGGCATAGCGGTTAGGACGCTCGCCTACCATGCACATGGTCCGGGGTTCGATCCCCAGCCACCGACGCACTCCTTTACCTCGCTAAGCCAAATATAATGCTGGTAAAGACGAAAGGTTGGGCATGAGGCTAGCAACCCTATCCTGTAAAAATAATAAACACTGCTACAGAAACTTCAAGCCACTAGCTTGAAGCCCTATGTTCCACTGTGGAACAGGAAGGAAAAAGAAGAATTCATGAGCCACTGAATAGGATCCCAATGGCTAAATGGTCTACAAGCTAGTTAATCTTGTAATCAGAAGGTCCTGGGTTCGAACCTTGGCAGTGGATGCGTACTGATGAAGAGTCCCAAACTAGGATAACAGAATCAGCTGTCCAGTAATCCCTACAGGTTTTCCAATGGTTCCCTAATCAATGTCAGCTTATGATGAAATCCTGAAACCATTCAACGAAATCCCTACAAAATAATACTTGAATAAGAATTCATTCCTTTCATTTAATAAATAATTTTTTTTAAATCGACTTCCACAAGCAACAGAATAATCTTTTAAACAATATCCAATCAAATGTTTAAACAGTAAAGTAGGTTTACAGTAGTGATGACATCATACATGTTAGAAACAAGTTTATGAATCACGTTATCAAATTACCTTCATACAAAGAAAAAATTAGCACTTAGTTAACAGATCATCTTAAAATATCGGATAGTAACAACGAAAGTTTGAAATTTCTACTCTATCCTGGAAAAAGCCTAGAAAAGTCAAGTTACAAGTTGTGTGTGTGTGTGTGTGTGTACGGTAGGCTGTTCACCAACCATGCACGTGCTTCTGGGTACGATTTCCGGCTGAAATACTTGTAAACGAAGAGTAATAATAAATCAGGAAAATTTCCAAATTCCCAATGACGTATCTTTTTCCTTCCTGTTCCACAGTGGAACATAGGGCTTCAAGCTAGTGGTTTGAAGTTTCTGTAGCAGTGTTTATTATTTTTACAGGATAGGGTTGCTAGCCTCATGCCCAACCTTTCGTCTTTACCAGCATTATATTTGGCTTAGCGAGGTAAAGGAGTGCGTCGGTGGCTGGGAATCGAACTCCGGACCGTGTGTATGGTCAGCGAGCGTCCTAACGGCTGTGCCACCAACGCATAAACCTGTTTCGTCCTAGTTTCGGACTCTTCATCAGTACTCACCCACCGGGTTTTGAACCCGGGATCTTCTTGTTACAAGACAACCTCGTAAACCATTAAGCCACTGAGGCGGACATATTTAGAAAAAAACAAATTGAGCGAAGAAATATATATTCCTTTTCAATTAATTCCTGATCATAATATAACCCCACCCTTACCAAAACTTTAAAGCTTGAAGCCCCATGCTCCACTCGGAACACAAATGAATGAAAAAGAAAGTCAGGAGTTATTGAAAAGCAGTAAACCTATAAATCAAAATTTTGGTTTCCAGGAATTTGCATTTTTACAGGGTCTCATCATGAACTGACATCGTTTGGAGAACTTTTGCAAAACCTGGGAGTACCAGGTAGATTTTCGGCCTAATTCGAGATTCTTCATCAGCACACACCCTTCGATTCATGACTTTCCAGTTATGAGACAACCAATGGGGTACAGCAGGCCAGGTGTGAGGACAAATGCTCGTCGGTGACATCGGCCAGCACTAGTCGTGCTATTTCGTGAACTGGCAGAAGTTGGAATTCATGGCTTGGTCATTGGTTCTGGTCCTAATGGCTGAATGTCCTACGATCTCGTTTTGTCGCCGGAAGGCTCTGGGTTCAAACCCATAAGGTAGGTACGCGTCGATGAAGAGTTCCAAACTAGGCGGACAAACACAGCTGTCCAGTACTCCCTACTGATTTTCAATGATTCTCTAACCGACGTCAGCTCATGATGAAATCCTGTAGACCTATAGATATTCATCCACTGTAGGATGGGCAGATTTTCGCCATGAAACAGAAGAAATCATTCAACTACATATGATTATTATTTCTGTTGAACTGACATTTCTCTTTACAGGTAAATTACAACGGTGGAAAAATTTTGGCTAACAGGTTCATGCAAGAAAGATGCTGCAGTTGGAAATGCTAACAAAACACTGGGAGTTAAAAATTTCATTAGTGCTTTCATACTACTTGTTTGTGGTATGCTTATTTGTACGGTATTCTTGTTACTTGAGTACGCTGTCTATTGGTATGCCAAACCGAAATTGAAAAAGCTAAATCGATACGGGTGTTTTGGTCGAATTGTTTCGGTAAGTCAGAAACGCAAATGAAGAAATGCATCTGTCTCCAAACCTGATAAATGAGTAGACAAAAAAAGAAGAAATTACCTTCTTATAAACTATACAAGCGGTTAATAATAGACAGTTGAAAGTTTTACTTTTTCTTAATTTTTATTTTACCTTGATTCCACACAGTATTTGGTACAAGTATGAGATTTTCAGCATGTGATATCCGTAGCCCAAATTGGCAGGCCTATCATGGAAATCAAGTGTTTTTCGGTCGGGGGTCGAACCTCGGACCATGTGCAGGGTTGGCGAGCTTCCTAACCACTGTGCCACCGGCTCACTTCTGTTACTTAACAATAAACTCATATAGATTCAAATCACTTTACAGAAAAACGAATAGTATCCCTGCTACTAAAACTGATTAGATGAGGAGGGTGTGGATGTGATTTGTGAAGTTTGCATTAGAAATTCCAGCAGTCAGTACCAAAGTTCATGCGGCGTTCTATCTAGATAGCTGGGTATTACAAAAAGCCATCGTAGTCGTTTCTGTAAATTCATACCATGCGGCTCAGTTAATTATTGTTATCACCAGCTGTGCGTCGGTGGCACAGCGGTAGAATAATGCTCACCAACCATACCTAATGTGGTCCAGGGTTTCATCCCTGGCCACCGACGAACTCCTTTACCTCGCTAAGCCAGTAACAAGACTTGTAAAGAGGATAAGTTAGGAATGAGTCTAGCAACTCCATCGCTTAAAACAGATATCACTGCTACCGAAACTTCAAACGTCTAGCTTGAAGCCTTATGTACCACTGGGAACGTAAAGGCATAAAAAAATCCGCTTATGTATGATTTTCATGTGTTTTACATAATAATTCCAGACCAATATTTAAACTATGTATAAATCTCCATATATCGCACTTATGTTCCACTCGGAACCCAAGAAAAAACAATAATAACTTCATTTCACTGCATGTTTGAGAAGCACAGTTGAAAATGTTAGATTTGAGTATACTTTAAATATTTAACGACTGTTACCCTTTTGACGTACCTCGACTTCATTAGAACTACTATTACTTTAGCAACTTAGTTTTCAATCTCTGATCTGGCTAATGCTATGCACCTCAACTCACCAGTTACTGTCTACCTGCCTCCTCCCCTCTTCGCAGACGGGGAAATATCTGAACTAGGAAAAAGTGGAGGGAATGGCCATACTGCAGTAAAGTGCTGCATAGATTGATTGAGTGTTTGTATAACCGTATAGGGAAATGTTATTTGAACGGCTGGGGTTAAAGTGAGCACAAAAACTTATGAGATTACAGAGTCGTAGTGACAATCAGAATAGTGCAGACAAATCTGCCTGTTGTACGCACTTAGTTCATTAACTTCTCCTTGTATCATTAGTCTTAATGACTATTTATGAAGCAAATAAAAGACAAATTCAGCGAAGAAAATTCTCTTTTCTTTATCGACGAAATCATCTTCAGAGGCTGTAGAGTCATATTTATACTTACAAAAAATATATAGTGGTCTATTATTGAGTAATCGGGAGTGACGTAACTGATATAATTACTCAGAAGTGGCTTTAGAAATGAAAATTAAAAGTTGCTTTTACGTGATACTCAACGGCTCAAAGATAGGAATTTGATAAGGTTAAAATTGCTATTGAGTGAGAGAATAAAGGTGGTCGTTAAGTGTCCATTTAACAAGTGTAAAAAGGGTGTGAAATGTACAGAAGGAGCATATAAGAGTGATAATAGTAAATTAATTAATAAAGTAAAAGCAAACTAAAGGTTAAATTGAACATTAAAAAAGAGAAGAAGAATTCAAAATTTTTTACATGGAGCGACTAGTGAAGAGGTAAAGACCATGGTAGAACAAAAGACTGGACAAACGTCTTGTGTATACAGAGTTCTGGGTTGTATTGACGATCTGCCAACGCCTCGGCCATACACAAAAGCTGAAACCTAACGCCCTTTGTACCATGTAGCTTCACTTGTAGATGATATTGAAAGACGACTCAGGTGGAGCTACATGGCCTGAGTTCACCAAATGCTCGAGAATTGAGCTAGTAATTGTCTTGCATTGTTCCTTTTTGCTGACTATTCATGACTTTATTGTCGTCGTCCTTCATATTAGTTTTAATACATACAAAAAGTGACTACTCGGGGGATTTAACAGTAAGTACAGATCATATGTTTTAAGTGTATATATTTGTGGACACATCCGAAATATAAAAACACTACAGTCAATGATTATATATATAAAGTGCTTTCTTTCTCGTTTAAAATTTGTAGCCGTATTTGCCGACAGCAAGTGGGCAACATTAATGAATCTTTTGTTCCTGTATATCCCTAAGAGAAGTGAATAGTGATTATTACTAGCTATAGAAAACATAGAGAAAGGATGTGTCAGCCAGTGCATTTCCAAATGCTGAGACAATAAAAAAGAGTCGTAAAAAACAAAACCAAAAGCATTCATATTATTTCTCATGTTACACAAAGCAAATACATCCGTATACATTCCAGATAGTGCTACTATTGGAAGATAGAGTTCATCTAAAGAATTTGGCGTATTCATGTAATACATCTTAAACCCAGTAATTTTACACCGGTTGATGTGGAGGATAATAATAAACGCCACTCTTGACAATCAGACAAGGGTTAGTGCGTCCCGGTTCGATTCTAGACAGATGCATTCTTAAACCTTGTTTAGACGATAGTAAGCCCTGAAAGAAGTCATCCTTCAGCCCAGCCGATCTGCATTCTGTCGGGGCGTACGCGGAGACCATGAAAGGACAACAATGAGTAACGCCATCCCTCATTCTTCTAACTAACCTGTTCAGGCGGACCCCACACATACGACTATCTACTGGGATCCAGTCAAGAAGTGATTTATCCCGCCCTAACACTCAATGCTATCCCTACATCTGCGAGTCCTCGCGAACTAGCTGAGAGGTCAGCTGACAACGGTAAAGTGAATTTCACAGATTCAATTTATTGGTCAGGTGGGGTTGGGTCAAGTCAATGACCAAACTTGGGTCTTGTATGCGTGTCTCCGAAACACAACATACATCCATGGCTCGAGTTGCCAGAGTTCTTGCTAGTGATGCCTGTTATCCGATTCGGCAGAAGGTCCTGACGTTTGATGCTCCTATGTAAAGTTGGCGACGTGTCTTTAAAAGGCTATCGGGGTGTTTCTATGGCCATCATCGTTGTTTGTGGTCAGAGAGTGAAGTGAAGATGACTCACTAGTCTGAAGAATAGTACTAACTGTAGTAGGGGAGTAAGATGATGAAGGTGATGTGGGTAAAGGATAATGATGCTCAGGAAGGTTTCGTGTGCTTCTGGAAGTGTATGGACAGTTGTTACTTCCAAGCTGCCCACACCATGGGAGTTGATTGAGTCTTCAGGTACCTGAAACTAAAAGAGAGTTATTGTTACGTGATCACAGAGTCCCGGGGACAACTGCTTGAGGCCGTTCACACACGACCTGTCTGAACTGGTTTCTTGGATTGGTTCCGTACTAGTAAATTTACCACCGGTTACGGACTACCGTAGGGTAAGTGTGGATGTACAATTGTTGGGGTTGACGTTTTCTAGCCTCCTCCCTCTGGAATGGAGAGACAGCATAGCTGGCTGGCATGCTGGTCATTTGAGGGAAACAGATTACTGCTCTTACATCCCTGTTCCCCAGCAGTACGACTTCGCCCACAGACACTCAGCATAGTGTAAAAACAAACTTCTTACACTATTCCAGTAACTGCTTTTATACATTTGGTTCCCTTGATAAATTTCGATAAAGAAAGGAAGACGAAATTCGCAGTATAAAATGATATCGCCATTCTATTTCACAGATTCTCATAAGCTGCACAACTTTACCTGAAATTACAGTGGTTATTTGGTTGATAATAACATACTTTAATGTTTAAGCGGTAGTAGAGAATAAATACTATAAAATTGACAAATCCAAAATGAAAGCATTACAAAAGCGGTCACACTTTATGAGATTAAGATTTTTTCAGTGAGTTGAGATCACTGAATTAGATGACTAATCAAAATCAAAATTCAGTTACATTAATTAGTCATGTAATTCAGTGATCTCAACTCACTGAAAAAATCTTAATCGTACACACTTTAACCGCTTTTGTTTTCTGGAGTTGCTATGTGGACCTACAAGCTAACACTGTTCTGTTAATCAATATTTTCTGTCTTACCCCTCTCCACCCCTTTTTTAAATTTAAAAGCGTATAAATTGATGATGAAAACTTAAACTAAAAATTGTAATGCTTTCATTTTGGATGTGTCAATTTTATAGTATTTATTCTCTACTACCGCTTAAACATTAAAGTATGTTATTATCAACCAAATAACCACTGTAATTTCAGGTAAAGTTGTGCAGCTTATGAGAACCTGTGAAATAGAATGGCGATATCATTTTATACTGCGAATTTCGTCTTCCTTTCTTTAACTGCTCTTAGTCTAATCGCTATCCTAACGACCTTCCTGGCACAGTAGGACATGCAGGAACAATAGTTCCAGCCAGTGTAGCTTGTCGGGTCACTGCAATATGAAAGCACAACCAACAGCTATTGGTCGGGAGGGGGGGGCGTTATCCACTAATCACATGGGTCATCTAGACAACTTGGGCCACAAGCTCGGAAAAGCGGAAAAGTCGGGTATAAGACTAGCAACCCTACCCCATAATAATAAAAAGGCGCCTCTACTCAAACCCCAAAGCTTAAACTTGAAGCTATGTGTTCCACCGGGGGGAAAACTCAAAGGATTATCAAGGTAGATTAAATGTGATACTGCGGGGAGG